TTTTTTTTTTTTTTAAACTCTGTGCTCTATCCTTCCATGTAATCTGATGTGCATCCCCCAAGAAATGTAACTACATGGCAGGTCGATGCAGTCAGCTATGGCTGAATGCCTTGGAAGGCTGCAGCGTGGATTAAAAGGCATTGCTGGTTATGTCTTGCGTGTCGTAAATTTATTTTCTAAATCAAACTAAAGCGGGCCTAAGCTCCATTAATCTGTGGCCTCTGTAAACAGTTGCCTGATGATTTTGTTCACTCTTTCCCTACTCTTAAGTCTTTTTGTATAAAATATTTGAGTTAAAAGGTCAAAAAAGGAAGGCATGCTTTAGAAAGATCCTACCAAGTACATCACAACACACCGAGTCTGCTCTGTCAATGGCTTAGTTCAGCCATTTAATTACAGCCAAAACACCTGCCTCGTTAAAAGATGAGACATTATTTCCATAACATGTCTACAGCATTTCCACTGTGTGGCAAGATGAAAATACAATTTCTAAAAACTTCAGTTATCAGTTTGATTATTCCCCCAAACTAAAAGATGAAGAAAACTGTCCCCTAAATTGTCAAATAACAATATGAATGCAGCATGGCTTGATTAAGTTTTAATTGTAAGAGTGTTTGCTGGAACGCAGTGTGTGTGTGTAGGTGTGTGTGTGTGTGTGGGTGTGTGTGTGTGTGTGTGTGTGTGTTGTCATGTAATTAATATCCTTAGTATCCTTATTTTCTCATTATATTGTTTTATGTACTTTAATCATGAAGGTTTGTAAAGCAAGGCTACTTTTGACTCATAAACTAAGTGCTCAGCCAGACTGAAAAACAGGAGGTTTTAGTGCACAGGCATATTAATAGATAAGACACAGAAAAGAGAAACTTTGGCATATAAGCAATGTTTGAAAGTGTGTGACGTGTAAAGTACCAAAATAACACCTATATTAGGCACAGTTTATGATTGTAATGTTAGAGATCCTGCAACTGGCGTTTTGGGCTGTGCAGGGGTCTCTCTTTTCCGGAAGATGATTGAATAAAAGAAATATAAATGTTTTAACCCAATATGAGTCGGTTTTCTCTGTTCTATCATGGGGACAAAAGAATCGGGGTTAATAGTGTGTGTGTCTGTGTGTGTGTGTGTGTGTGTGAGAGAGAGCGAGAGAGGGAGAGAGAGAGAGAGAGGGAGAATGCAGGGAGGACATTTTTTCACCCACGATCCTTGAAGGTAGCATGAGTGACTGAAGTGGGTCACGTGAGATGCTCCGCTAAGAATGCGGTGACGTGGGAGAGTTCTGTCAGTGTAGCGGTGTCTGACAGCCAGCTTCCGCGGGCCAGTAGGTACCTCGCCCGGCTGAGGAAACCGACCGGGGTCGCTCCGAGACGGAGCACAGGAGAAGGAAAAAACAAGAAGGTGCGGACTGAAAAACCGAAGCAGGGAGGTGAAGGTAGATGAGTTGTTGTTTCCGTTTCCCACTCCAGGACTCGGGGAACATGTTTTGGCTGTGATTGGACTTATATATGGAAGATTATATATATTTTTTCCTATTCTGCTCATTTTTATTACTCCCCTTCTGCCCAACACCAGCTTTCCGAGCATCGTGAAGTACCAGCCGTACTCCTGCTGCTCTGGCGCTTTTCAGCGGGCTCCCCGATAGCCGTGCGGGGCGGGGACGCTGTGGTGTTCTTGCTTTCATTCTGACATGAAATAACACATCCGAGCAGCGGGCCAAACTTGGATAAAATCAAAAAACAACGCAGAAACAGAAAGGTGAGGGCGGGAGGAAGGGGATACGTAAATGAAGTAGAGGGCAGCAGTGTAGAGCGGCCACAAGACGCAAGGCAGGAGAGGAAGGAGAGGGGGAGTCGCAGCAGGAGGAGAACCAAAACCCGCAGGTTTGTTGAGCTTGTGGGGATGAGGACGAGGAGGAGGGACCTTACGCATCGAAGGTGTCAGTGCGATTAGAAAAACAGGGGGAAGGGAACTAAAGCCCAGATTGTTTCCAGTCCTGAGAGGCGGTGATGGCGAGTGCAGGCACCGGGGTCCCTGCTCTCCCTCAGCCGACCGCAGCCCCATCAGCCACCGCAGCGGCAGCAGCATGAGGAGGAGGAGGTAGGCAGCCCTGCACGTCTCATCGGTCCCCCCACATCCTCATTATTCATTTAGCCTTCCCCGCCCTCCTCTCCCCTCCATTACATCCACCTTTCTTCCCCAGCAGCCTTGACGAGTACCCATCTAGCCATCAATCAATTTCTCCACACACCTTTGTCCCAACATCATGCATCTCGTCTCCTTCAGATACTTTCCAGAAGCCCCTCTTCCCCCCACCCCACGGGAAAGGTGTACCAGAGGAGCACTTATTTTAATTCCACTATAATTTCTTCCCCTAAGAATGAATGTTGTCCACTTGCCTGGTTTTTGTGTGACATTCCTGGAGGCACAGTGTCAGCAAAAGGGGTCAGTAGTGCATGCTGTATTAGTCTCCATAAAAATCAAGTTTAGGAAATCCCTCTGTAGACCTGCCAAGAGGCAAGGCCAGGGACTTTCCATCGATCCAGTTCAATTAACAGCGTTTTTTATCCACTTCATCATGTCGAGCTGCCTGAGCGTTTTTGGGCACTGAAGACCGTGCATAGTTGGGGGATATCTGCTAAATGCTGAGACGGAGAGGAAAAAAAAGGCTAACCTCTCCCGTCAGGGTGTTCACTCTGACCGCCAGACTATGAAACTTTAATAGGGTCTAATTTTCAAACCCCCTTATAATTTATTACAGTGGCGTCTGAACCGAGTCCTCAAAAAGAGTCCAAGGGAAGAGAACATGTGCAGGGCGTTAGGACTGTGAGAGGTAAATACAGCAGTAATAGTTTTCAGATAGCACAATTAACGGAAGTGGATAACACTTTCTGTGTCTGTCACTCACTTAGAGAAGTGCGATGCTGTAGCATAATATTTTCAGCTGCGGTGGGTCCTGGATGCCAAAGCTTGATTTCCTAAAAGGTCGGGAGTCCAGGTCAAAGTCCAAAGGCTACTCAACACTTTCTGTTGTCACTGCCATTACTCAGACCTAAAGCTATTTAAAGACCAAGCGAGTCTAAATGTTTACTGCATGTCTACAGTGTATGTGGTAAAGGTTCAGTTTACAGGGAATTGGATTACATCTGTGGAGTTCAGAACGCTGATGTATGTATGAAAATAATCCGTTTTTTCAAATCACTTTTTTTTAATCCAATCAGCTTTGAAACATCTAAAAAGAATCTGTTTAATGCCACAGTAGACTGAGAAATGAGATGCATTGGTCAGAATCGGCCGATTTCCACACTCGCAGCCACAAGCTGAGGTGACGTTAGTGTGGAAGTTCCTCACTGTGAGCAAAAGACAAAGATTCAAAAAAGTAAACCGTCTACAGCAACAAACAGACGCTTAAACATGGTTGTTTTAAAAAAAGCTAACAAAGGAAAAGTGACTAAAGCAAACCCAGAGCTCAGAGCCAACCACAAACCAGCAGCCTCGGTATGAGCAAAGGGTCAAGGCAGTTATGGGGAAAATGATGCAGATGATTGAAAGAGAGAGCAGAGTCTGAGGTCCTGCTGTCTGCTGAATTTATACATTTACTGGAAAATGATGTAAGTAACATCTGATATTTGTCTGTTGCCCCTACTTTTGTTTGTATGGTAAAATATGTCAGGTAAAGATTCGTGTGCTAGCGAGTCATTTTCAGTGAATTATTCGCACCGCTTCCCAACAGCACAGCGTTTTATTTTCAGTTGTTTGCCTGAGAGAACTACCTGCAGTTTGGGGGAAGTTGTAAACATTAACAATTTATCTTGTTATGAAAAAAATTTTGCATCAAAAAACATTTATATTACAGGATTTATCAGTTATATGATTAATGAAAGTCAGTTTAAAGAAATCTTAAAACCAGAATATGAATAACACTTCTTGATTAGATACCAGAGAAGTTTGTAATTTGGGTCAGCTGACCTGATAAGGATCAGATATGGCTATGTCGTGTGATGGAAGGGCTCAAGTGGCCTGGCCCACATTTGACCGGGCTCTAGTCATGAAGGATATTAAAAAAAAATAAAACGCAGCTGGCCATCCAGAGTGTCTCATCTGTTGTGCAACACTTAGCAAGAACTCAACCCTCCCTATCCTGCAGGCCCTTTCCAGGCTGAGTCAGACAGCAAACAACGTTTTCAAAGGGTCTGAAAATTATCCTTTTTCTTTAGTTCTTGGACAGCAGGTCTGTGGATTATTTAAAACATCAGGACAATCTTTTACTTTTGGCGGGGGTAAAGATAGAAGGCGGTTTTATTTTTAAACCTGTAAAAGTACAACAAATGCCAAATTTCCTTCTTTTGCATTTGGGTTTTGACCTCATCAATATTCTACAGATAAAACGACTCGTCCACGTAACTAAATATATCACAGGAAAGTTTGTTTTTGAGTAAAGCGTTACTGACAGAGGACACTTGGATTTATAGACAGAGACAAAAGAAAACAGTAAAATCAAGGAGCAGCATACACTGTGTGCCGGCGCTTTAATCCAGTGTTTAAAAAATTTAAAAATTGTATCACATGAATTTTACAAATTATTATTATTATTTTTTATTTGTATACTAGCAGATTAGACTCAGACAGATGTGTTGAGAAGAAGCAGCATATTAAACGGGATATGAAAAGCAGTAACCTGAAGATGGTTTCATTTAAAACTCAAACTATTTTTTATTTCAGTGTCTGGTTGAGTATATTAAACTTTGTTCTATAGCTGAAGGATAGTCCATATAGCACTTTTATTTTATTCTGTTTTAGTTTATTTTATTGTGTGTGTGTGTGTGTGTGTGTGTGTGTGTGTGTGTTTTATCTTTCTCTGACCTTTATTTTAGTGACACTGTGATTTCCATCCAAGGTTAGATGTGCAGTTGACTGATAGTCCTTGGGAAGATTTTTTGGTAGACTGTCAAACAAATGGAATTTGAATATAATTCATAAATGTATTTGCACATCTAGATTCAGTTCTACAACATGCACTCTTGCCTTCTACAAACATTTGTCAAATAAATTGTTGTTCTAAAGTACTCACTGAATTTGAGTGTGTTACTGTAACAGGATGCCACTGGCGCAACAAGTCAGTTGGTGGAGATTCTTCCTTTCCAGATATTCCACCTAACAGCTGTTACTGCAGAGTAAGTGAAAGTGTCTTTTTGCTTCTTAACCTCCTAGGACCTGGCGTCCTCATATGTGGACATCACATTTTGGGTTATTTAGACCAAAATACTCAATTTTGCTCTACAAGGGCCTGATATCCACTTACGAGGACATTATTACTGCTACTGTTCTATCGAAATTTTAAACGAATATCCTCATTTGTGGCTCTCATTTTTCTTAGAAACAAAAATTAGGTAAAAAAAAAAAAAAATCTGGTAATTGTTTGTTTTTACATTCATCAGGTCCCAATCAGCCCAAATATCAAAGAATAATTAAAAATGCATGCCGTGGTAGAGTTCGGGTCTTAGGAGGTTAAGTCTATTTTTTGAGGTTTTGCTGTTCTGTCATTTTTCTCTTCTCTTTATGTCTTTTCTCCTTCCCCTAACCATCAACTGATGGTGGCCGGTGGCTTCCCCTCTCAGAGCCTGGTTCTACAGGACGTGTCTTCTTGTTAAAAGGGAATTTTTCCTCACCACTGTTGCAAAGTGCTTGCTCATAGGAGAGACATTGATTGTCGCCATTTTTCTCCAGAACTGCAGGGTTTTTACCTTACAGTAGAAAGTACCTTGACGGGGGTGCTATTCTGATTTCGTGCTACATAAATAAACCTTAACTGAACTGGATTGAATTCTTAGTCTCTTCAGGTTTTTTTATTCACTTGCTTTTCATTTGCTGCACAGCCCACCATAGAAACATATTAGTGATCAGCCTGGTGTTGAGGTTGGTTCATCTCTTGGCTGAAGTTTTCCACATGATGGCCCATTAGAGACAGGTGATATAAGCTTTTGGGAAAAAACTTCTTATCATCCCTGTGCTTATGTATTTATATTAGCCTAAACATAGCTATGTAGCTAGCCACCATGTGGCACATCATTATACGTAAGCTGGCCCAGCTTGACTAACCCTTTAAATGTCACAGCTAATGTATTTTCTGTTTAGTATTTTAGACATACTTTTGTCAGAACCTGGTATCTCATCTTTAGTTAAAAACCAGTGAGATAGCTTCCTGTTAACGTCCAACTCGACTGAACCCTTGAATGTAAACTTAACTGTAATATCTGGGAGAACAGCCGCAGTGATCATTTTATTATGGCTGAAAAGATCTTTCTCTCTGAGTGGTGGCTCAGAGTTTGATTGATT